TTTTGTCCCCTTCCCGCACTGTAGGACTTGTCTTATCAGTTTCGTTACAGTTTCGAATTTTTTTTCGCTTTTTTTGCCGTAATGGTGCTTTCATTGTATCTGTTCACGAAATTTCCCTCATTTCCATCGAGGACAATTTTCGTAAACTCTATATGTACATTTGACGCGTACGGCGTTGTCAGTCTTATGATCGACAATTCGTATAAAAATTGTCGTTGTTACCATCGAATAATAATTCATACTCACCTTTTAATGAAAGTTAGTTTGTTTATCCCAAAATGTCCAACGCTCTCCCGAAAACACAGGCATATGACGGTTTTTCAATTTTTTTTCAATTTTTTTTTTCGCAATCAGTGATCGACGATAACAGGAAATACGATAAATTGCCACGAGCCCCGCCGCTTTGTCGCTCCAATGCGAGAACGCATTACGTTTAAGCGAGATTAAGAGCAGTCTGGCTGGGGTGTATTTTATCACCCGTGACACGCACGATCCGTGCGCTTAACGTAAAAGCCATATACCTATACATATATATTCACGAAATAGCACAGCGCAACGAATGTTAACGAAGACTGTCGATCGTTCGCGATTTCTCTTCTTTCTTTTCTATTCAATCTTATTCTCGTTGTCACCGATGATTTTATCCTCCTTGGCGTCCCGAAACTTTCCTCGAGAAATCAGTTCCGAGCACTTTATCCTCGACTAGTAGCGCACGGAGTAAAGTACAGAAACATTGAAGACTCCGAGATCCTGAAAAGAAAAACTATGAGAGACAAAAAACTCTGCAAGGATGAATCGTGCTTCCAGCTATCAACAGCGCTTCTCGACTCTGGAGTTGGTTTTCCTAGCATCCCCTATTGTTCCTTCCCATATTGAACGAGCTAGCCTTTCATCTTTTCGATGGCTGGTTAACTGTGCATCCAGTCTCAACTACCCCGAAGACCCATATAGCACAGTCCTATCTATTTATAGCTTGGCAATTCAGGAATTTGTAAACCGGAAGTTGTTAGACTCAAATGCAGTGTTCAAAACTTGAACAGATAATTATCTCGTCCATTGACAGACAATTCCTTTCCGCCGAAAGCCCTGCGATGATTATCATCGTACCTTTGATATGTGATCGTTCATCTGATCCACCTGTGACTGTTCCATTAATACTCTTTGTTTGGTATCATTGATCAGTTCGTGTTTGTTGCGAGATAAATAATACACTGATCAGTTCACAGGCGTAGCTGTACTTGTTGATCCAGAGACTGACAAATTGATTTTCCACCATTCTACACTGATTTTGATGTCGCACCAGAGTGCTGCCTTTGATACCATATATGTGTATCATGGGTGAATTCATTTTCAAATCCTGTTATACATAAAACATCCCTTATCGCTTATCGGTCAAATTTCATTCCCCTATGAAATTTTTTGATAACAATATACATTCCTAATCATATTCTATATATGCTTTATCGTGACTTCGATAGATTACAGATTTTACAATCGATTTTAAAATGGGTATTTATTTCGATATAATAATCATAGTCAATGGTTCAGAGACTGTATAAAAGAATCTTTTTCCTCCTCTGTTTATCATTTTACACGCAGTCTCCTCGTGCTTTGACTCCCAGTGGAACAACGTGGACTCCTGGCAAACAATGCCCCGTATATCGTAGTGGTAAATGACAGCGTTCACTTTTTATCCGTCAGTCGTAAAGTGAGAATGAGCAGCCGAAATCCGCGTTCAAAAGTAATTTACTCGTGGAGGTGTGATACGGACATTTTCGCATTTATCAAATCGAATAAAAACCTTTCGACCGCGGTGGACCGCATCATTATTTCACAGAGGACGTTACCAATTCCATATCGTCGATTAACGTTTTCAACAGATTATCAGTACCCCCCCCCTCCTCCATCCCCTGCTATTATCTCTTTGTACGAATTAAAATAGGGCTTTAATTTATTCCCGTATCTAAACACGTACAGGAGAATGCATCAATCGGAGTATATAATATCTCTGTTATTATTGAGCGAGTATTAGAAAAAGTATTTTCTTTCTACCCTTAACATCCGTGTCTGTATACGGATTATTACAGAAATTTTTATTTCGTAAAATTTTCATTCCTCCCGTATAGCTACGGAGAGGTGAAGGATTAAGACCGGTTTTCGCTCATCGCCAAGCATGAGTACTCTGAGCGACAGATTATTTTGGCATATATCCCTTAATCTTGTACAGTTTGACGAGTTTGGGATTTTGGACAGACGATAATTATATATCATGATTTTACAAGAGTCCTCAGGCTGTTCGTAGCGCCGCGAAGGTGTCGCCTGACACAGCAGGACTTTAGCCAAGGCAATCGGGTACAAGAGCACCCTTGTGAACAATATGGAAGAAGAGAATGGATTGACCATGTCCTTTCTGTTTTCCTAGGATCATAAGGCACGATTCCACTCGAGAACAAATTTTATTTTCTGAAGACTTTGTAATGCTTTGTCCCTTTGGATTTCGGTCTTTGCACGAGAAGGATTAAGTGCTTTGAGCAAAAATTGTTTATTTGTTACTTGTTAGAGTTAGAAATCTTTGCTCTTTTCAAAGCCATATATCGTTCCTATGTATTGCATACCTCTGTGAAAGCTATCGTGATAAACTACTAAGCGGAAGACCTGGGAAGACCTATAGGATGCGAACTTGGGCTTTTATCTTTGGATGTACACCAAAGCGTGCACATATGTAACTTGACGTATCAAACAACACAAGGGTATACCTTATGCTTCTTTGACACATAACTATACTGATAGTTTTAATATTACAATTTTTATTCAACTGATTCGTTCTTTATGACTCGTATACGTGGTATAATTTTTTTATATTATATATCTATACACGTGTATCATAGCAATCAGAAGGGCTGAATAAACTGATGGTTTTAAGCGGTACGAGTGATGCTGTCAGGATGTGACATCGCTAAGGCGAATTTACATCCGTAAATTCAAATGAGTCTGAACGTCCCTATATGCATGATTATGTAAAAAGTTAAGGGACGTAAATTCAACTTAATAATTTTCATGAAATACGGAATTTCATTCCGAAACTCAAATCTTCCGTCTGGAACAAATGCCGCGATACTTCTGAATTACGATTTACTTTTACCCACTTTATGGAGCCTTGATTCCGATTAAATAAGTAATCTCTCGTAGCTCCGGCATCTTTCTAAAAGTATTCTGCCTTCGTTTGAATGAGAGGACGGCTGGGAGATTTTAATCTTCTGGTCCCTGCGGCGCTCTTTGCAATTTTATGATACGCCGCGATGGTAATTAGCTCAGTTGAAGGGACAGTAAAACTATTAGAAATCTGTTGCACCTTTCAGACTGGTACTTGTTACGCGTCTATATACTATGAACGCGAATTTCTCTTTCGGTTAATTTAAAGTTTCCATAGTGTCTTGGGATAAAGTTTCGAACCTGTTTCATTTCTTTTTGCTCTACTTGCAATTAATTTCTCTTCCTTTCATGTTTGTCAAAGTTATTCCAGTCATTACGTTACGGGACAAGGGAAAGGGGCACCCGGCAAATTTCTCGTCAATATGTTATTCAAGGCACGAACGTGAAAATAAAAAAGAAATACATGGAATAAGAGAGGCGAAAAAATAGTCTCTTGAAAGGAACATAATTTTTAGAATGAAATAATTTTTTTTCTTTAACAAATTTTCTTACATCTAGACCCTCTCTACCCGAATTCTTTTATCTTGTGTCTATATACTTTAATATTTCCTTGTACATTTCTCATAGTGCCATTCAAGACTTTTCCTTATGCTTGTGAGTTTGAAAAAGATGAAAAGTTTCTTTCATAGATTTCTAATAATGAAAAAAAAAAATGGAAAAAATTGAATGCACTTAGCTTCAATTTTCATGCTCGTATAGGTTGCGAGATGGGTTCTCTAGAGTCAAAGAGAATCGTAAAATATTCCATCGAAAAAAAAGAGGGATACGTGAATATGGCTTGAACGTAAAGGTATGCGGAATTTTGATAAGTTAAAAATAATTTGTTTTTTTATTCCAAGATGTACGCGAGTCGCGGAAAAGCTCGTAATATCAAAAGACTCGTTGAGATTTTCCCCCTTTAATCAGCGCGAACAACGTTATAAATCTGTTTGCTGAAGACAAATACGAGCTGGCGAATGTTTTGCGGGCAAAATGCAAATTATATTGGAATAAGGAACGCATAGGGAGGTGGCAGCTGAGCTCCGCCCTTTACATTATTTATGAACTTAAAATTATCGAATTCTTGAGTGTTCATGAAAGTCGGACCAATCAAAGCGTACGGTTTAAATCCATTAGGAGAAAACTTTGCGATTGGTAATCAGCTTAAAATCTTTTTATTTTTCTCCTTTTTGCATTATATATCTATATACATATGATATACCAGCTTTGAATTTTATATTGTTTTTACGGTTTTCTTTAATAAATTCAAACGTAGCCAATGCAAGTAAACGAATGTATGCCGGATTCACTTAGGGCCGAATTTTTAGTTTAATTTGAAGTATAATCTTGAGTTTGAACTTATGACCAAAAATTCGGCCCTTAATCGGCCAAAAAAAGATCGTAACATAAAAATGCACGATTTTAAATTAATTTTGTTATCAACTCATATATAAATATGAATCGCAAATACGAATCGGTCTATATAATACGTACACACGTAATTACAATATGACGCGATACTATTTACTCCAGGGTTTATAAAATAGCGAACTGACGTGAAAACGATATTACCGTTCTATCGAATTATCTACAGGAAATGAAAATCCGATTACGTCAATGAAACGGTGTAAGCTCTACAATAATCCCATAATTTTTGCATATTCCTGGAATTCGAGAATCTACGTGCGAAATTTTCATCGATACACGTTGCTAACATGATCAGACCATATACCTAATAATTGTACCGTGCATGTAATTTCACTACACGTATCCCTTAAATTATGGGCAATTTTTTAACTTTATTTCAGGTTTCCATACATATACACACAACGAAAGCATGCACACCGACCGGATAGAGGATGAAATACTGACAGTGAAATATGAAGATGGCCGCTGGTCCAAGCCCTACTACGACTGTGGGGGAGGGAATATTTGGATGCTGACTTATACAGTCCCATTCTTCGGATACGCGAACGACACGTACTTCTTCAAGTAAGTATTTTTATATTACTCATAATCTATATACTGTATACGTGATACCTGAGATTTATTAAGAACTAAGATAAATGCCGGTATCGACGTATTTGGGATAGCAGGACGAAGCAAAAAGGCCGTTATCAAGAATATCTTACGATAAATCAGTTTTGAGCTATTTAGGTTTAAGCCGGACCAATGAGGTCAACGATGGATCAAATTTTCATAAATTTTGTTAATATTTGGTATTTTCTTTTTCGATTTATTTTTCGTATTTCTGAACTGTAACTTCTTTACCAAGGTAAGTACGGTGGATAAGCACGAAGGATCTGAGAGTAGGTTATTCTTAGAATAGGATCTTAAAGTAGGCACACACATCACTCCATAGGCAGAAAACATGATCGCGAAACTGATGTTTGTCGATGTTCGAGGGGTCGGCGAGTAAACGAAGATATATGTATAACGGGTGTGCGAAACTGTTTGTAACATAGGGTAGCGATGATAATTCCCGCTACCTGGGAAATCATCATGTTTAGTTTCTACTGAAGCAGCCCAGGAACTGTTTGTTCGCTCCTGGTTCAATTACGCTCAATTCGTATTTGATCCTCGAGTTTCGGTAACCAATGATTAGACCAGACTATTGGCGCTATTGAAACGGTTGGAACCGGTTTCGAGAAATTAACATTGAAACAGGCACAGGCTGTATACGAAGAAATAATAGTATTTACAATCTAACTATGTCCGGAGCGTTCTGAAGCTTCAGGGAAGTGTACGTTTTCGCGAAATGAGAATCCAGAGCCCAGATTGGCCTGGATAACGACTTGCAAAATACATGCGGCGAAGGGCTACGAATTATTTATACCATACTGATTTTTATATGATTTCATTATTCCAAAAACGATCTTTCCGGTTCAGCGAATGCAAATCTAAAATTGAGCTGACTATGATCTACCCGCGCGGAGTATGAAAGTAGGGCATGCACAAATCATTCATGGATCATTCATAAGTCATGGATCCAAAGTCGTATTCGCTGTATGGAGAAAGATTATGCTCAGATCAGTTTAGGATCCATCTCGTAGACACGATTTATTCTCTAGATTTGGCTGTCATGTACAATGTATAAATAAAAATGAAGTACTCATAGTCTTCTTAGACGTACATTCGCGGAATCTCATATGGATCATGCAAATTGATGATCTAATTTTGAGACGTATCGTATACCGAAAGTATATGTATATCTGATGAATATTTTAAAAAATCTCACAATTCAATAAAGTAAAGTAGGATAGAACCACGAAGTCCCTCATGGTGCCTTTTGGCATCGTTCATCCTTTCAGAAGTTGATGCTTCGAGCAAAGTCAACTTCAAGCGAGCAGCAGGTACCTACCACTACGTAAGATGCTTTGAAGCTGCAGTCAATGACTTCAGAACTCTTTGCTCTCGGTGCATTGGTAACTTCTACCTGTTTTCTTTCTGCTTCCATTGATCTGAACGAAAAAGTCCCTTAGGTCGAGAAAGTAAAGTGAACCGTTGATGCAATGGAGATCAACTGTGATTTTACAAGCTATGGAAATGTACCAACAATCAGTTAATCATCAGGAGGATGCTTTCGCTAGCCAGTTAAAAATTTTTTACATCCAATGAACATCGAGGATACGATCACCGAACTTCGGAGGTCTATGATGCTACCCTCAAAAACCAAAGCCATTTCCGTGCGCGCATCCGAATTAAAATTCACTATAGAGATCTACAATAAAACAATACAGTCTCTTAAACAGAGCTATGACGTGTCAATGTCTCCTAACAAACTTACCCCCTGAGATATTTGAACCTCTAAACCAGGTAACGTAACCAACCTATCAGCTCTTTCCACAAGGTGGATCCTTCACTGGCATAGCTTGTTCAGATATCCAGGTCCCTATTAGGATGACCATCCACACAAGGGTTTCCTACACTGAGCCCTTAGCACTGATTTTTTCCCGAAATTGGAGCTTTTAAGGGGTTCAAGACGATCCGACCCATCTGCCGTAGACGATCTGGATATTGGTGTTCTAAGGGTTTGTCACCTTATCCTTGTTTTGGGCATGACTGACGGTCCTCTTGGACTACTTGAGGCGCTAGCGATAAGAGGCATGATTGATATCAGGCCAACGTCCATTGATTTCGCGGGTTGGTACCTACGCTATTGTTCTCGATGGGGTAGGGAAAGTTATGCAGGCTGCTCGTCCCGGTCTCGTCGACTGCTCGAAACTCGAGGTATATTGGGCGCCGGCTGGGCATCCCAAGATTTTGGCAGTGATAGTACACGTTTGCTTGACGTCGCAGGTTGAAATGTCAGAATAGCTGAGGACGATCGAGATAAGGGTTTTCGTCATTGGCGATACTCGTTGGCGTACACTGGTATACGTAAATTTGTCCAACAATAGAAATTAGTCTGATCTTCTCCGTATAATTATTCTTGGAGGTTTTTAACGTGACCCTGTGACTGCAGCTGGCAAGGAGAAATAAATTTCGATCTTATATACCGTATGTACCATCCCAAGTAGGATACCTGAAGTTGCTGCGATCGAAAAGGAGTAATGATAATTGCATCTGCCGAACGAATCATCCTTCTGTGTGGTAAGTAGTTTTAACTCGTTTTCGGTCGGCAACTTCAGGTGTCCTACTTGGGATGGGGTATACGGTATATAGTATAGTGTATATATATACAGGGTGTCCCAGAACTACTTTTGGACCGGAAAGTGGGCGATGGCTGGAGGTGCCCTGAGTACCCTCCCGCAAACCGTTTGCCAAAATTCGCGATAGTTTTTAAATGAGAAGCATTTAAGTGCGACCAATCAGAATGAAGGATTTCCGCGGATTCATTCGCGGATGCCAAAGATTGCTGCTTTGCAATAGCTTCCCACAAATTCCGCGCTTAGCAATTGTTTCATAGCCCGAGCGAGCGTCATAGGTTTCGTTGACAAACTCCCAATATGGGCATGGGCGTGACTTAGGCTGGCGCAGCAGCTACACGTGCAACGCGCGATCGGCAATTGTTTCGGGATATGCATTCAGCCAGACAAAAACCGGTACACGGTGTCCAAAACGTCATGCACTGAAAATACCGATTCTTGGGACGAAAAAAAGGGATACGTGTCTTTGCGTTTCGCTCCTAATCTATTTTCCTATTTACGTATTTTTTACAGTCTCCAGAATCGATGAGTACTCTATAACTTTGAAATCAGCAATCGCGATGTCTTGGAAATTCGATACGATAAGACGAAAAAATAATACTTCTATGCTTAGTTTTCAATTCATTTTAAATTTAATCCATCAGTCCCACCACCCACCCTCCCGACTCCCTCTTACTTTAATAATCTGTTTTCCTCCGGACTGCTATAAATTTCAGTGCATGACGTTTTGGACACCGTGTACCGGTTTTTGTCGGGCTGAATGCATATCGCGAAACAATTGCCGATCGCGCGTTGCACGTGTAGCTGCTGCGCCAGCCTAAGTCACGCCCATGCCCATATTGGGAGTTTGTCAACGAAACCTATGACGCTCGCTCGGGCTATGAAACAATTGCTAAGCGCGGAATTTGTGGGAAGCTATTGCAAAGCAGCAATCTTTGGCATCCGCGAATGAATCCGCGGAAATCCTTCATTCTGATTGGTCGCACTTAAATGCTTCTCATTTAAAAACTATAGCGAATTTTGGCAAACGGTTTGCGGGAGGGTACTCAGGGCACCTCCAGCCATCGCCCACTTTCCGGTCCAAAAGTAGTTCTGGGACACCCTGTATATATATTGCGAATATGTTAGTAGTTTATATAAATACTAAATGATGGAAATCTTGAGAATTTTCATTTTCGTTAATGTCTTTCAGCGTGATTTGACGTCTATTGAAACTGGGTCCATCTCGCTCTATGATTATAGAAGAAATATAGAAAAGACTTTTCTCGATCTCGTCGAGATGAAATGAAGAGGAAGATGCTTTCAAGTTGTGTTTTGTAATGATAATATTTTGCAGAAGTATTTTATTGAGAATTTCGTTCGATACGTAGGAAGTTTATACGAGGTTCAAGATTATTAATATGAAGTTCCAAAGAGATAACGAGGAAGCTGTTTGTTTCAGGAAATAAGAGAGGCTGCGTAGCTCTGTTGAATGTTAGTTTGAATGTTGTACAGATTTAGTAGCGTTTAATAAAAAAAAATACCTGGAACGCATAGAGCAGAATATTTAAAGGTAATTGGTATGTACAGGCTGCTGTTAAATAATTGTTAAACAAGTACGCCGTATTTGTAGATATAGTTAGTGCGCAATGACGCTGCTATAAACTTGTATTTTACTCAGGCAGAGATTTGCTTCTTTGGATTTTTTTCAAACGATTAACCACCAACAGTCAAGTTGGCGAAGCTTAGGCATGAACAGCCGACGACCTATCACAAATCCTTTTAAATCCTACTGGGGTGTTAAATCCTCTCTTCAGGAAGTTCCATCTCTACGCATCGGTAATTTCAAATCCGATCCTGTTGCATAAGAGGACTACCTATATACGACACGCAGAATAGGAATAAGTATTTTATGCTTCTTTAACGTTTTTTTTTTGTGTCTTGTTATTCGAGAAAATTTATTTTTAATTTCGATTATAAAATCTGATCAATTTAAAATAGATGTTTATTATCCTTTCTTAATTAGACAAATTAATTTGTATTTTGGATTCTCTTTAACTTCCATTTGCTTGATATAAGTCGCCACTCCTATACTTCATTGGTCGGTTGGCTGAAACTTGTCTTTAGTTCGTACGGTCAATGACGTTGTAAAATGTAAATTTTAATTAATAATCGTATCTATTCTGATATATAATCAGGCACAGATATTTTTTACCTAATATCTTATTCTTTTATTTTAATTTGATTAAAAATTTTCCGAAATATTTTATTCGTCTGTCACGTAAAATTCAACGATATTAGACACGCAATTGGAGCTTTATTGTTTTTTTTTCAGTTAAACCTATTTTTCAGACTTTGGACGAA